CTCCCCGAACCAGACATATCTCTGCTTCCAAACGACTGACTGCAGACCTTTCCCGTGTTCACAACCCTTCCTTGCATTTCTTCCTAAAAGTGCAGTCCTAAATCAGCAAATTAGGTGATGGATGAAGTTTTGATTCCCACTGTGAAATCACAGTAGTTGCACAACTGGACAGACGAATTAAGACAATTTGTGTAATTCTACTAACCTTCCTGCTTTAACATCCTCAGCCATGGAAGGAAATGAAATACGGTATATTGGGGCTGAATTTAGATAGCCCTTTAAAAATAAATGGCTATATATGCTTTTGTGTGTGTATTCTTATATATCATTGCACATCTATGCTTATGAATACACCACATGCATTTATTTTTAAAGTAGACAATAATTTAGAAATGTGATCCCTTATGAGTTTTGCAACAAAAATATCAGCTATTTTACAAGCTCATCAGCTCTGTTTCAAATGGCTCCTCTGAAGGGAAAAACACTCTCCCTCTGCCATTATTTAAATGCAGTTGCTATTATGTATAGGTATTTTTTAGTAGTGAGAGAGCAGTAAGTAAAGGCAATTAGCAGCCGAGTTTGGAAACGGATTCGAGACCCAGTTCTGTGAAGATAAAGGGATCTCGAGTAGCTTTTTAATTTTTGTCCTGGAGTTGCCGATGATTTTATTAGATGGGGGAAGTAAGGAGCTTTTTTTGTTTTGTTTTACGTTTTTTTTTTTTTTTCTGTAAGGGAGCCCCCTGTGCAAGGAACTGGGGAAAGTTCGTGACCACTCAGTGTTTTTGTAGGAAAACTAAGACTCACGACACGACGACTCCTGCAGCTTCCTGCCCTAGGAGGGACAAAAGCTACAAATGCAGCGCCACAGAGCTCCCCTCATTTTTCACTGTAGACTGTGTTGTTTAAAAGCTACCCACTCCCTAGATTAAAGGAGACACAAGCCCCGCTGAACTCAACGTGGCCTGCTTCAGCTATTAGCAAAAAGAATTTCCTCTCCAGTTAAATACTGTAGGATTTGCATAAACTATATTAAGAGAGATTTCTATATTAAGCAGACCTGCCCTCGAAGCATCAGAGGCAAATGAACTTTTAGCAGAGAGCTTTCTGAGGCAGAAACAGATATCTAGGAGTTACATGCTGGGTTTTCACAGAGCCATTCTACAATGCTGTGTTTCCCACGTTGTGCTACTAAAACTAATAATGAAGCAGTAGTAAGGTAAACTGCTCCCTACCAAATCCAAACTGTATTGTTGAAAAATCACAGAAATGGAAAAGAACTGACAGCCTGTTTTTTACAGTAATTTCCAGAGTGCTTGCTGAAACTGAACTTTCTCAAAGATCAGTGTTAACAGCGTTTTTCTGCCTTTAGAACAAAAATCATAACCGAGCCTGTGGCATTCTGTATCCCTTCCCAATCTGCTTGGCTTTACTTTCTCAGCCCGTAGCATTTGCAACAGAAAAGAAAGCACAGAATGGGAGGTCTTTTTGCTTGGATTTAATTCTAGAAAGCCTCTTCCTTTGACTCTCTTTAACATATTGTGTGTTTGCAGGTGTGTGTGTTTGTGTACACGTGTGTAGTTGTGGCAGGAGAACACAGGATCTAACCATCGGAGTGCAATAGATACGGGAGGGGAGCGGTGCCCAGCGCAGATTAAGGGAGTTCTCGTTACTGAAACGATAACTTCCATCTGACACAATAAGAGTGTCACTCTTTCTCACCTTGCAGAGAGAGCTGCCTATTTCTGATCATGACATAAAATACTCGCTGGAGTCTGAGCGTTCTTGAAACACTGAGCTCCTTGATGCATGTGCTGTAGATGTCACTGCTGTCTGATTGTGCTTGAATTAACACGCTGTTTTGACTTCTGGAAAACGCCTAAAGGACAATGCAAAAAGCTTTTGTGAATTTGTTTTTAAAGAAAGAAATCCGGTTTCTTCGTGTTTCCATTTAGAAGGCAGAGAGTGTGTGAACTGTGGAGCAACTGCCACCCCTCTCTGGAGAAGAGACGGCACCGGGCATTACCTGTGTAACGCCTGCGGGCTCTACCACAAAATGAATGGTCAAAACCGACCTCTCATTAAACCTAAACGAAGGCTGGTAGGTGTCTCTCTTTCTCCTGGGTTTGGGGATAACTTAGGCAAAGGGACCACACGCAGGCACAAGTCAAACGTGTCTCATCTCTGCTCAGCCCCTGCGCGGAGCCAAGCCGTACTGTACATGGGGGTCAGTCACGTCGAGGTCACTGCCGTGCCTCGAGGCAGATCTCCCCCCCTCCCCCGCCACCCCCGGCCCCGGCATCCCCGGCACAGACCACCGCGCCGCCGCAGCCTGCCAAGCGTGCCTCTGTCCCGAGCCTCCCTGCTGCTCACAATACACGCGGGATATCGTGTATCCGTCTCCCCGTTTATCCTCAGATGACAGCTTTTAATCTAATTCCTCATTTATTTGGCCTCTTGGGACGTTTTGGGCGCATACTGGGAGCGAAAGGGTTATGAGCGTGAATGTCCTCCACCGTGTACTAAAAAAAAGTTCCAGCTCCAAAAAGCAAAACAAATCAGATGAGTAAAAGCTACTGCTCCCTACTTAATAATTATTTGTATAAAAGCCATGAAGTAATTTTCACTCTTATATTCTCTGGCAATATTAATATTGGTTCCCTCCCCAGACAATCCCCTACTGTTTTAAAAAAAAAAAAAAGTCCTATTATTTTTCCATGGAGTCACCTATACTTTGTATTTTCATTTGAGTGATTTAAAAAAAATGTCCTTTCTAAGCTCCTGGTAGTAGTTTCCTATCCGGATATCTGTACGTTAAAGATAAGGAAACTTTGTGTATCTGTTTCCTGACTCTAAAAGCTTTAGAGAGTTTCTATAGGCAAGCCTTGCCAGTCATGCTTGCTGTTTTGAAATTTCTAATACACTCTACTCCACAAATAATGCGTAAAATGCTAAGAATAATAAATATATTTTTTGGAGCTTTGTGATTTATGGTGCCTAAGTCTCTTAGCTATTCGTGGGCACATTTCAATGAGGTTTGGAGAGCAGAAAATTGGCATTACTGCTCTAACGCTGGGATGGGATACAGAAGATTTCTGTCGTGAGTCAGAATTTCAACTATGCAAGCTTCTTAATGACTTGCCTTCTAAAGTGACTGACATATAGAAAAATGTTAAGACAACAGTGTAACATTATCGTCTCTCAGGCTCAAGTGCTTTCCAGTCTGAATGGGACAGGCCATAGAGTTAAGCAGCATAGTTGAATATCAGTAAGCCATCTCAAATATGCAAACATAGGTCTCCACCTTCCAGTGTGTTGGGAGACTGTTATACTTAGCTCACTGCGAGGGGTTTGGGGGGCACTAGAGAGGTTTTCTTTTAGTTTAGTTGTTTTTATGTTTTGTTTTAGTTGATTTACAGCTTTGTTTATTGCCCCTTTTTCCACTGTAGTTTGCTTGTTTGCAGGGGAGAGGAGATGGCCATCTTTGGGAATTTGTTCATCTGACATGCAATAGCAAAGTGATCATATTAATAATGTCAGTGTTTGGAAGTCTGGCATTAATTGTGTTTGGGTTGCATAAGTGTACGTGCAGTAGGGGGTACCCCCTCTTTCTGCCTTTGGCCTGTTCTCACAGGCGAGTAAGGGACTGAAATATATGAGTCTCCCAGGGCCTGATTCTTGCCTTAAGCTGCTGAGCCGTCCCATCAGCTTTCGGAAAGTTACAGAGGGCCATGGTGTAAATCGGGAGCAAGTGAGAACGGAACCTGGTGCTCCTCTTCTGCGAGCCGGGTCAGCCTGTGCTTCAAGCGGCACCAGCTCCCCGGCGGAGCCGGCAGGCAGGGAAGCGCACAAAGTTCTCGTCTGGGAAACCCACCGCTCCGTGACTCTGCTCACGGAGATGCCCTGCACATTAACGTGAGCTTCGCTGCTGCTTCTCCCTATGGCTCTCAGTGGCTAATTGCAAATATATCCAGGGAGCAGGGCCCCGGGGAAATTACCACGATTGATATGCATTAGAAAGTAAACTGCTAATTTAAGAAAAGAAAATACTGAGTCCTCAGCATTAATCCAATTGCACAAAATGGACTGTATTTTGACCACTTCCAGAGGCAGGGCTGAAGCTTTCTAATACAAAATTATTTTCCAAAATATGGGGTGCAATTAGTCCATCCATAACACTTTATATGATAGCATGCTTGCACAAAGAACGTATTATTGTGGGGTCTGCTAGACAAGGGCCCATCCAGAAATTACTGGCTGCCTGCTGTTCTACTTTTCCTGTTTTGTTTTGGGGGGTGGGAGAATGTTTGGGCATTTTTCTTTCCCCCCACCTTGATTTCAGCAGAACAATAGTTTTAGAAAGGGTGGTGGATTTGGGGGAGGTGTGTGCTTTTTTTTTTTAAAGACAGTTGTTTGAGGGCTTGTCAGCCAAGGAACTGAGTAGGGACAGAGGCGGCAGACAGGTCAGTGGAATCGTTGCTGCAAGGCATGAAATTTGGTTTGCTAAATATTTAAAGAAAGTTGGAGCCGGTTTTGTTTTCTCCCTTTCACTTGTAAATGGAAACTGAATTTTCAGTGATGGCTCTGATAAATACTGCACCCAGTTAAGTAATGCGGTTGGTTTTCTTTTGTGTGCATCTTTAAAGGGCCAGAGTAGGGGTAAAAATCACATTCTTTAAGATCATTCCCTCTTTTCAAACCCTGTCCCAACACTAGCACAAACTAAATCGGTCATTTAAAAAAAAAAAAAAAAAGGCAAATGCATTTTCATGACACGTTCTAGAATCCTGCAAAGGGAAAACCTGAACAAATCAGATGTCATTTTCCCCTCTAAAATTTTTGTTTGTGGAGTTAGTTAGAGATGCATTGTTTCTCTCTACGTCTCCTGCACACACGGTGCCACGGGGCTTGAGGCTGCAGTCCGCATAGCAGAATACTTGAATTTAAACAAAAACCTAGCGGCCACAAAATGTAAAACTTTCTTTTAGCCCTGATGCTCTGTAAAATCTTAGTAAGTAGTTCTACCCAACCTAAATACTGAGTCCAACTTGACCTTTCTCATGATCTCCCTCCTGCCGATACTTTTTTAATTTTCTTTTTCTTTTGGTTAGTCAGCGGCTAGGAGAGCAGGGACGTGTTGTGCCAACTGTCAGACAACCACCACGACCTTATGGCGACGTAATGCAAACGGGGACCCAGTTTGTAATGCCTGCGGACTCTACTATAAATTGCACAATGTGAGTATTCACTCATCTCATGTGTCGCCGCTTGCCTAGCTGGGATTGATGTCTTAACTGCATGGTGTACACTAGGCTTTTATTGGTTTCAGGGTTTTGGTTGTTGTTTTATTCCTTCCCCCGTCTCTAAGGTTCCCCTGGGAAGTGACAGCCATTCTTTGTCGGCATAGTGATGCTAAGTTCAGTGACATTACAATGTATTAGCTTGGCTTCTAACGCTTGGGCAAATCAGGCAAAATAGAGCTACCACACTTGGTTTTAACTAAGTGTGTTTTGTGTCCCTGTTTCCCTCCAGAAACACAGAGGCCATTTGGAATGGGGTCTGTGCAAAAACTAATCCCGACGGGGCATCTTCATTTTGATTTTGTTTAAAAATAATTATATCTAAGGCTTTGTTTTATTTTTTTTTTAAAGAAATTAATCCTAAGCAGGAATCACTTGACATGTTAGAACGTTACTTAAACTGTAAGTAACAGAGGTTACTGGTACAAGATTGCTCATGTCTTAGGACTGAATTTGGGTCAACGTGTGCCTCCTAGTTTGATCTTTTCTATTAGGAAATGAATGAGGACTGAGGGTAAGCCTACGGGAAAGAGTCATCAGCTGCCAAATTCAGTTCAATTTGTTTTTCATGTCCAGTGTTTTTTTGTGTGTGTGGTTTTATTAAACGAATCAATATAAACAAGTTCTGCAGAGAGAAACACCATTTTTTTTGGCCAGAAAAAGGTCTCCATCCAGGAAAAACACATGGGGGCTGTCCAAATATTTTCATTTTTGCACAATAAGGTCATTTTGTCTGCATGAGCCTGATTTTCTCATTTCTTGCAGGTGAACAGGCCTCTGACCATGAAAAAGGAAGGAATTCAGACCAGGAATAGGAAAATGTCCAACAAATCAAAGAAAAGCAAGAAAGGCTCTGAGTGTTTTGAGGAACTGTCCAAGTGCATGCAGGAGAAATCGTCTCCGTTCAGCGCTGCTGCTCTTGCTAGTCACATGGCGCCCATGGGGCATTTGCCACCTTTCAGCCACTCTGGACACATCCTACCAACACCCACCCCCATCCACCCATCTTCCAGCATCTCATTTGGACATCCACACCCATCCAGCATGGTTACAGCCATGGGATAAAACCTGATGACCAAGAGACCCACCCAGAGATTAAGAACATGGGGCTTTGCCTAAGACGACACCAAGTAAGAAAATGTTCTGCAAAAGGAGAATGTAGGGATGGCAAAAGGGGATCTTTGCTCCCATGTGGTTTAACTCTTAATGCTGGACTAAAACCTTGCAAATGATGGGTCTTCTGCAGAAACGTGTAGTGGTGCCTGTAATGCACTTTGCCCCCTCAGGTATAAGGAAAAAGAACTCACCTGTTCAATACTTAATGGTCCAGCAGGAAGCAAAAGGTGGCAGAAGCTGAAGGAAAAGGCTTGGAACTGGCTTTCCTTTCTCTCTTTGTTATTACTGTGAATATTGTAAAGAGATATAAGCAGCCTCCCAGGATGGAATCGGCTCACTGGAAGCCAGACATGCTGGATTTCTATTGCGGACTTTGTTTGGGATGGGGAAAAAGAAAAAAAAAAAAATAAAAAAAGGACATCTTTATAAAAACGTAATTTTTAAAATGAAATCAGACACAAAGTCATATTTATTTTGCTCTTGTTTTCCACAAAAAGCCTCAACCCCTCTGATTGCATGTTTTTGTGCTGTTGTTTGCAATGGCTACCCTGTAAGAAAACCTGCCTTCAAAACAAGGGGGAGAGGGGGGAACATATTCAGCAGCCCCCTTGGATTAGCTCCGTCTATCTCCATACCAACAATATCTACTAGGAAGGGTGAAAAGATTGGGGGGGGGAACAAAGCAAAAATGTAGCTGTAATATGGGATTTCAATGTGCCCAAGATGGTGATTATTTTGACGCAATTTCTTCATTCTTTTCCCTAACAGGAAAGATTTATTTTTAAAAAAACAGCCCCCCTCCCAACTACCCTATTATTCCTCAAAACAGACAGCTAGGTCAGGCAAACTGTTACGAAAAAACTCTCGGGGAAGGCAATCCTGCACTAGCGAGGGGTGAGATACAAGCATTTACCAAACTGTCGCAGCTAACTTCTAGCACAGCAAAAACCATCACAGGGCATAAAAACATCCAACTCTCAGACTTTGGAGGTTGAAGCATTTTGTTCTGTTGTGTTGGCAGCTGTTGCTTAAAAATGCAGATTAGCTGCTTGGGTAAACTTGCGGCAGTGTGGCCACCACGTCCACACGCAACCAGCCAGCGCATGTGCTGTCTCGGGCATCCAGGCCCCGGTGGACTTCACAGGGAGGAAGGGCAGAAATGAGGTTGAGATCACTGGAGAGGGGAAAGAGAGAGACAATCAGTTTGAGCTTCACACATCCGTCAAATCCCAGACACAGCGACGGCTAATGAGATGAGGGAAAGCATCGTTCTAAGGAGAACGTCCGTTTTCCGTAGCGTGTTTTATATGAAAAAAAAAAAAACAAAAACAAAAAAAGAAAAAAACCTAAATCTCCCATTATTAAACCATATTGTACGTAAATGACCGAAAACAAAGCTATTGCCAATGTGAAGTGTATTCTATTGATTGTTATGATCTGATGCCTCTCGTGAACACAAGCTCCAGTATAACATACAATGTACATATTTAGCTATACTTCTGATGAAAATGCCCCAATGAACAGAGGGGTTTGATAATGTAAACCACGTAAGCTTAACTCAAAAGAAAAAAAAAGGAGTTTTTAATTTTTTTTTTTTTTTTTTTTGGATCAAGCCAATTGTATCTTTACTGCAAAAGTCCTGCTTTAAAGAAAAAAAACACAATGAAACAAATAAAAATGGATGTACGTTAATTTTTTTTCTAAACGTGTAATTCAAATATTTGATAATTAAGAACGAAGCAGCCATGAAAATCCTGCTTTCCTCCTTTTTCTGGTCTGTGTAGGCATATAGGTGCACTTTGTAAAGAAGTGCAAATAAACGGGAAACTAAATTGGTTGGGAGAAATCATAAGAATTTTTAATCTACTGAGGTAAAAAATTGGGTCCTTTTTACTTCTTACCTTTTACAATGGTACAGTTGTACATTATTTGTACCCAACTCAAATTTCTGTAAAATTTTTCCTCCTTTTTCTGGTCTGTGTAGGCATATAGGTGCACTTTGTAAAGAAGTGCAAATAAACGGGAAACTAAATTGGTTGGGAGAAATCATAAGAATTTTTAATCTACTGAGGTAAAAAATTGGGTCCTTTTTACTTCTTACCTTTTACAATGGTACAGTTGTACATTATTTGTACCCAACTCAAATTTCTGTAAAATTTTGGGGGGGGGGGGGGAGGGTGGGGGGGTGGGGGGGGGGGGGCAAGGGATGTGGGTGGAAGACAGGGATTACTGATACAGTTGACAAAGTGCAATATATTGTCAGTCACTGCAGCATAGACAACGGCAGTCGAGATTTAAATTATTTTGTACTTGTATCAGCATAAAAAAATTCTGCAGTATTTTCTGTTTTTATTTTAATTTTTTTATTTTGCTTATTTTTGGATTAGTGAACTAAGTTATTGTTAATTATGTACAACATGTTTATATATTGTCTGTAAAAAGTGTATGCTTTCCTCATATTCCTTCAAGGTGAATATTGCTAAGAATAATAAAATACCTTTTTTGTCAAAGTACCTGTGCCCAGCTCCATGTCATAAAGGCTGCTTTTAATAGGGAGAGAGGAAAAATTATCGTCGTCATTGTTGCCAGTAGAATTATTAGCTCAAACTTTATGCAGAGCGGTCTATTGATATTTCAAAAACCTACCAGGTAGGACAAAAAAAGTAGTTGGTGAATGATTTAGTATAAAAAGCACAGGTACAAAAGCTCATTCTCCGGTGTTGTTTTGGGGTGACGAGGTCATGCAGTTAAGTGCATGAAAGTTTCTAAACCAGTTTAAAATCTAAGCCAGCAGCCACATTGCAGATGATGAACTGTGGTTTCTCTGGGCTTTTTTTGTTGTTTTTTTGGGTTGTTTTTTTAAAGTGTTTGGAGAAATATTTTTCATTAAAAACAAGTTTTAAAAGCACCGTAAATGCAGAAAAGCAGCCAGCTGCCTAATGGGTTTCAAGGCAGGGCCTGTATTAGACCGGACAAAGTTCTCTGTAGGTTCTTGCACTGCTGTAACAGGCAACACTGTCAACCTGGAAACCTGTTTCTTACCATTTGGCGTCATCAGTGGTGTGAAGGGAGCACGGGGGGATGGCCAGCCCGGAGCTGCTCAGTGCTGTCCTGGGAACAAGGGGTGCAGCCGTGGGTGCAGGGGGTACGCATGCAGGCTGGCACGTGAGGATGGAGAAGAGTGCTTACCAGGCAGCTCTCACATGGCCAAAACTTTGTGGCTGCTTTCATTACACGGTCGAGTGTGACCCACACAAGGAACTCCTTGGGGCCTTACAAAGTGAAGCAAAGTCTTGCGAAGTCCCCCCGCTAGGTGTAGGGGTGAGTACTGTTGCTACTAAACCAGTATTTTCACGAAAACTGCTAATGAACTTTGGGTTTCCTCCTTTGACCCCCCGGGAGTTGCGTCTCACTTCTGTGGAAACCAACTTGGGGATAACTCCTTACTCATTAAGAAAAAAAATAACCCGAGTTCCTTTTTCAGCATGTGCGTGCAAATTCAAGCCCTTTCTATCACTGCTTCTCTTTAACCATGCAGCCTCCTTCCCAGCCCTGTTTGCAAGCCCTGCTCGTGAATGACAAGGAGTCGCAGCAGCTCTAGATGTGCTGAAGAAAGCACACGCAACGGGGACAAGGCCTTCCCGCATCATTTCAGACGAGTTAATCATCTCTCTAACTTGTTTAGTGAGGCTTAGTGCAAACACCCGTAAAAAAAAACAAAACAAAAGGGAGTTTGTAGCATACCGTGCAAGCTTCATTTAAAAAGAAACATGTTCATTTTCTGACAGGTTTAAAACGCGGTTGTAAGTAAACTCAGCCACTCTTCCTCCATATTTGAATAGCTGAGATGAGGAGAGAACAGGAGAACTAACAACATCACTTTAAAATAAGTTAGAATAATCAGGCTATTTGCTTTGGTTGCACATTACACACCCATTCAGACTTTGATGAGGGTTTACCTTGGTGTTGCCTCTCTGCAGGCGTTTTGCCGGGTCGGTCTGATTCGCCCACAGAATCAGGGCCATAATCCATCAGCTTGTCAGGAGGGGTGCTGCAGCCCCCCCAGCACCCAGAGGAGCGTGCCTCTTCTGAGCGGGGTCTTCAGCAGTTCCTGCAACACAGATAACAAATAATCCCGTGTTTGTCAGGTGGCACTAATCTGTGAGAGATCAAACCATCTCTCTGCAACGTGTGTATCGTGTTTGTCTCCAGACATTTTGCATAGCGGAAGAAAAACAAACAGCAGGGAATGGAAACGGAGCAAGTGTGTAAAGTTCAACATAAAGCGTAAGTGCAGAGCAGATATCGAGGCAACAAATTGGGATTTAAAGTCCTTTTACTACCACCAAACACTGGGGGACAGGCTTTTTGTGAGGGGGGAACCCTGACATTACTTGCCTTTGGTTCCCGTTGTTGGGATTATTGTTTTAAGCCGTGCTTAATTGTCATGTCTCCACGGCCACATCAAAAGCCAAGAAGATTAGGTTACAGGGAGTGTTTGATGTCAAAATACAAAATAAATAAAAGGAAAGCTGAAAAGGTACTGTATTTTCCATGATGTCTAGTGAGGTTTTTGCCTTGAACATCTCTTTTTTATTATTATTTTGCAAAGGTTGCACTTTTAGTGATGAGATTTCATTTATTTACTTCCAAATGACTCCACTGCTTTCCTGCAACAGCTCGAAAGGGTTAATATCCCCTCTTTGATGGCAAACATGGTATAATTAACGCAAACTTCTTAAGTATCCTGGTGACCTGTAGATGGCCACATGAGAATTTTGTTATTTACTGACTTGCCAAACGTTTATTGCTTATAGCAGGACAAGTGGGAAGCAGGCATTAATTTTGATGCTGTTATCTGTGATTGCGTGTAAAGTTCATAGCAGAGAGTGCCTATATGTCAACTACAATTAAACATTTCCCTATTTTTTTAATGAATTTCACATTGGTGGAGGGGATTGGACTGGCAGCTTTGCAAACTGAAATCCTGCCCATCCACAGAGCAGGCATGACACAGCCAGACACAGGACAACTTCCCCTTACCTGCAGCCTGCAAAAGAAAACAGTCTGGCGCCATGGAGCATTTGATCCTTGGCTTCTCTACAGAGACAGTCAAATCAGTACCAACTGTGGCAGGGCACAGAGGGAGATTTTGTGGTGTGACATCTTCCCTTGGAAACCAGCCTGAAAAACACCAAAAATGAAGCCAAAAGTGGCTATCAGGTGAATATGTTCATTTATCACCAACCTGGACTGGATTAGAATGTGTGACCTAGAAGTAAAATGCTTTGTTTAGCCCAACTCCCTGGGCCATCTGGTCCTCTCAAGTAAACATTTCTAAGTGAGATTAAGTGACTGTTCTTTAAGCACGGTGATATGAGTGCAAACCAGGCTGCTCTGGATCTAACAGATCAAACCTCAGGATCAGGGCAGCCGGCTGGTGCCGATTCAGAAACACCATTTGCTTGAACAGCTTTGGGTGCAATTCTCCATGGTGTTGGCTTGGCAGTCAATCCTGATTCAGTCTGATGTGTCCCTGTCAGATCCAGAGCTTGTCCTAAATCCAGGGCTCAGATTGCACCAGGGTGCTGCTGGGAGGTCAAGGGCCCCATCAGAGGAAACTTACGGGAGAGACTGCAGTAAGAACTACACTGCATTTGCAAATAAGAACTCAGTTGCATTTCTGAGCACCAAAAGCTCGGCTGAGCAAAATGCAATCGCAGGGTAGGAGATACAGCAGAAAAAACATCCAGCAGGTAGTAACACAATAGAGAACTAACCCCTCCTTCAGGGAAAGGCTTCGACATACCGCTGAGGGAGGGAACTGCTACTGTTTGGTCTATAAAAACTGAATCGGGGAAGTATAATGTTAACCCAGCCTATGCAGCAATGCCAGGGAGAAAACAGCTACCTGCCTGCATCCTGCTCCCGTGCCTCTCTCTGTGGTTCTGCACTCTGGGCTGCAGGGAGTTATTTGGAGGAAAGTTGGCTCTGGCTCAGGAGGGTCGAGAGCATGTGAAAATCATTTGGAGTTGGGCCTATCAAATGCCAGAGTGTGAATGTGGACCCTTGTTTCTCCTAAACACTTCGGTGCTTCACCAAAGTCTTCCCCCGTGCTTTTATTTTCCTCCGGAGCTTGATTCTGCTCTTGCTTACTCTCTGTCAGGCAGAGAGGACATGGCAGATTTCTTTACCTGGGACACACGAGCATTATGTTAGCTGTTTTGGTTGTGATTTTTTATCTCTGGTTCTTTCATTCACTCCCACCTGGCCACACTGGCGTTCTGGTAGCAGGTTATACTGCTAGAGTGATTTCAGGGTGTCCCTGGATTTCCTACTGGATTTTGCTGTAAAATTCAGATTAATTTACCACCTCCTGCTGCATTTCAGCCTGTCCGCTAGTTTTTTTTTTTTCTTTTCTTTTTTGTAGACCCTTGGAAAATTTGTAAGTAAAAGCACCCCATTTTGAGACTTAATCTGCTAGAAGAGAACTAGATGAACAAAAAGAAACAGACCAAAACCATTCACGTAACCTTTGTGCCCACAGGCAC